CCCCACCTGATCCTTGAACCAGCAACCACCATGGGCTAGACTTTAGAAACTCCCAGCCACAAATTTGAGCTACCAGCCATCCTCGTATATTAGGAATTAAATCATCCCCAACCTTATATTTATTCCTTAGCACTTGGGCCCATAGATCATTTCTATGGGATAGGATACCATGTCCTACTTTCATCAGGTAAGCTTTATTGGTTCTCCTTAAGTTCCTAATTCCAAGGCCTCCATCCTCCTAAGCTCTGCAAATAACATTCCAGGGAGCAACATGCAGCTTCCTTCTTTCCCCACTTGAACCCCACACAAAGCCCCTCATCTTCTGTTCCACAGCATCACAAATCCCAACCGGAATCAGAGAAGTTTGCATAGAGTAGCTAAGGAGGGCAGCAAGGACAGTTTTGGTTAGGACAACTCTACCAGCCATAGATAAGGATCTTTCTTTCCAGGCACTCAGTTTTCTATTTGTCTTATCCAGAATGTATCTGAAAGTAATTTTACTTACTCTCTTATGAAGAATAGGTATTCCTAGGTACTTTCCTAAATCAGCAACAATACCAAAGCTCAAAATCTGGCTCAATTCACTACGTCTGGTATGGTTTACATTCTTGGAAAAGAAGCACCTTGTTTTTCTATTACTCACCCTCTGACCAGTAGCTTCACAAAACTGATTCAGAATTTTATTTATCAACATAGCCTGATCCCTCCCAGCTTCAGAGAGTAATAACAGGTCATCTGCAAAGAATAAGTGGGATATTGGAGGTCCCTTTTTACCCAATCTCACAGGTTTCCAGCTCTTTTGGTCAACAACAGTACTAATAAGATGCCCCAATCTCTCCATACAGAGGACAAATAGATAAGGAGATATGGGATCTCCTTGTCTAATTCCTCTTAAAGGCTTGGAACATTATGTCTTCTCCCCATTCCTCAAGATGTCCATAGTGGGTGAAGTAACACAAACCATGATGAGCTTCACCATTCCCACAGCCAGCCTAGTAAGAATAAGAGTTTCCTCCAAAAATTTCCAGCTAATCTTGTCATAGGCTTTCTCCAAATCCACCTTAATGGCAATCCAACCCTTCTTGCCTTTCTTTGATCTTATAGAATGGAAAATTTCCTGACAGATTATAATATTGTCTGAGGCATGTCTACCCTTCACGAAACTACACTGGTTTGGCATAATAAGGGTCCCCATATGATTTCTCAACCTCAACGCAAACATCTTGGTAATAATTTTGTACACCACATTACACAAGCTAATTGGTCTAAATTGGCTAATCCTCTCTGAGTTTTCAACCTTGGGAACTAGGCAAATCAAAGTTTGATTAATATCAGCTACCAACTCTGGATTTCTGAAAATATTCTTAATAAGCTTGACCACTGAATTCCCCACAGTATCCCATTGGGACTGGAAGAACATAGCATGCAATACATCAGCCCCTGGGGCTTTATAAGGGTGCATCTTCCTCAAAGTGTCCCTAATCTCATCCACACTAGGAACTGAATCAATGCTTCTCCACTTAGCATTATCAATCACAGGAAAATAATTTCCACTAAGGTAGGTAGTGATCTTATCCTCCTCCACATACAGCCCTTTGAAGAAATTAATGGCTATTGACTTAACTTCCTCAGGATCCTCCACCCACACATCATCATCCTTCTTGAGGGTTAAGACCTTGTTTCTCCTATTCCTGGCAACTGTAGCAACATGAAAGAACTTAGAATTTCTATCTCCAAAGGCCAGCCAGTTACATCTGGACCTTTGGAACCAGGTAAGCTCCTCGTGGATGTAAATTGCATTTAACTCCTTCCACAAGGATCTGTGCAGCCTCTCCAAAGCCTCATCTGGACCCTTGTTCAGCTGAAGATCCACTCTTCTAATCCTCTTTTGAATAAGATACTTCTTCTTTTGATCTTCCTTATAACTACCATTATGCCAAGTTGAAGCCTCATAATGGAATTTATTTTTTGCATCAAGCCACTCAGCCTTTTTGCTCCAGCAACTCCCCACCACATCCTTGAAGTTTGAATTCATTAACCAAGCTGCTAGGAACCTAAATGGTTTAGGACCACCAGTTTTACCAACCATGCTGTCATCTTTTAGTAGCAAAGCCCTATGATCTGACCCATGAAAATGAAGATGAATAATAGCTCTGTTAGGAAACTGCAAGTGCCATTCCTCATTAACCACTATCCTGTCAATTCTTTCATGTAAATTCCCTCTCCTCCAAGTGAATTTGGGACCAGAGAATCCCAAGTTTGAGAGTCCACTCTCACTAAGACACTTTTCAAAATCCTGCATGCTTTCCCAGCACACACCAGATCCCCGAAATTTCTCCCCTTTATTCAGGTATGCATTAAAATCTCCCATGGAAGCCCACTTCCCACAACAAGTGTCAGCAATTCTTCTCAAATTATCCCAAAGATACCTCCTCTCAAGCCTTCTAGGACTACCATATATAAAGGTAAACAGTTCCTCACTCCCAGTGCTTAACCATCGAATGTTAGTATGTACAAATTGATGGTCTTCCTCTAAAATATTAACTCTAGCCAGGCTCTTATTCCACAGGATCCATATCCCTCCAGAAAATCCCACAGCTTCTCTTAGAAAGAAGCTATCAAACCCCAGATTTCTGGCCACTTTTTTAGCCTTATTACCACTAATTCTAGTTTCTAGCAACACAAGGATTTGAACCTTGTTCTGGAACACCACATCCCTAATCAGGGTAGAAAAGCCTATCTTTCCTGCCCCCTATAGTTCCATGAGCACACTATCATGAAAATAAAAGAGAGAGTGTAGAACACTAACCTCCAGCTAGATCCCAGTATTGGATCTTAACAGAGAACCACCAGCATTGGTGATGTCATCCAAAGCCATCACAACTCTACCATCTTGATTAGACCCTTTTACTCCTCCATCTCCATCAGGGGGATTTTCTTTGAGTTCTGGATTTGGGGAACTTCCAATTGGTCCCATACTAGCACCAAGAGAATGCTTTCCCTTACTACAACCCCTATTAGCTCCCCTGTCCACTAAAATGGCCTCCCTATTATTAGATTTCTGGACCGAATTCCTGTTACCCCCTGAATTCAGAGAACACAACATTTGTTTCCCAGAACCCTTCGGTTCAGTTGCTTGCTTCTGTCTAGTATCAGTCTTCTCAGTATTATTTTTTTTCCTCCTATCACCTTGGCTTCTCTTTTGTTGGCTCAACTCCTCGGTAGCCTTCCCACTATTTCTCAAATTATCTGACCCTCCAGCCTCCTGGGTATGATCTTCATTCCTATTAACTTCCTCTAACAGATAAATCTCGATCCAGACGCATTTGGCATCGGACTAGCAGCTTTACTTCCTGAGTAAGGTCTCTCTTTAACACCAGAATTCTCTTTCGATTTTAGCTGTTGAGCTGTTCTTTTATTATTTCTTTTATGGACTGTCATCCAGTTGCCAAACCCATTGATTTCTTGGCTTTTCTCAACTCCCTCCTTAGTGGCATTTTCATTCTGAACCTGCCCAGGACTCTGGCCCTGATCCTCCATACCTGCTTCCTCTTCACCTTCCTTGGGCTTCTCGGCATTAAAGCTGCATTGATCCTTCCTATGTCCATACTGCCCACACAGGAAGCAAATCATATGCAAGCCCTCATAACCAATGAACAATTGCCTTTGCCCAATCCGAAACTTGGATAAAAGGCTTTTGCTCAAATCTATTTCCACACAGATTCGCGTAAATCTGCCTCTATATGTAATTTCTTCTAGTTGCCCTTGTCCACTAATCCTCAGGGAGTTCTCATCGATCCTCAACGTTCGGCCAACCATATTTCCCAATCGCCAGAGATACTTATATGTATAGAATTCCCTAGGCACTCCAGAGATTCTAATCCAAACTGCCAGCTTCTTGATTCTTTCATCGAACGGGTCAAAATTAGGTCTCCACCTTTGGACAATGAGATAGTGGTCAGCCACCACCCAAGGTCCCTGCTGCTGAACAAATAATCATTACTAACCAGGTGTCCAGAATTCATTTATATATAGTTGGGAAATAATAGAGAATTTCCTTACATGTTAGACAAATAAATTTATCATGTATATTATGATAAAAAATTATTGTAACCAATTTGAATGTACATAAATATGTATTTACGAAGTCACATATTGGGTTGTAATTTGTTTTCTGACTCAATAATATTTATTTAGTCTCAAATAACATTGCACACGTCATATATTCAACTCATAATTCATGCGAACAATTCATAAATAATATCTTTCCTCAATCGAGGGCCATTTGACCATATTGATTCAAAATTCTCAAACTATAAATCAGGTCGATGCAAAACTCAAAATTTTTATCAAAATAACGTAATGAAGTGAAACGTGTAAAGAGATACTGCGGGTTCAAGTCGCGGGAAAGTGGGGAACACCGACCAAAATGCCACACTTTACCAACTTTTTTACCTAATGCGAATAGTGATATTTTTCAATCTGCCACGGGGCAAGTTCGTTATCCGGTGTAGCAAACTCGATTTGCTGGCGTGTCACATTTCTAGTGGATAACAAGTATCAAGTTTTTTTTTTTAAAAAAAAAAAGAGATAAGAAGTTAGCTACATTGAATAGCGAACTTGGTTTGAGGAAGGGACAAAGCCTTCTCTGCTTCACCCATTCATTGCCATCAACCGGCTGTTCGAGCTCATCAATCAAAACGACGGTTAAAACCAAGTTTGCCGAGCTCATCAATCAAAACGGCGGTTAAAATCAAGTTTGCTACCCCGCGCAGTGAACTTGCTGTCCACTAAAAACGTGACACGTCAGCGAACCGAGTTTGCTACACCGTGTAGCGAACTTGCCCCCGTGACGGATTGAAAAATAACATTGTTCACATGGCATTTAGTAAAAAAATTGGTGAAGAGTAACATTTTGGTTACTGTTCCGGAGTGGTCCATCTCGATCTAATATAACACCCACCAAAGTCCAAACCCGGTTTTGTTTCTCTTTAATCTCTGCCTCAGTTTCTCCCTTGCCACCGCCATCGTCGAGTTATCCTTCGTCGCAGCCAAGCCTATTCGCCGGCATCACGCTCTCAACTCCCACCTCAGTGGCTCACTCCTCACCTGGTCAGTGTTCTTCGCCTTTTCGTGTTCAACTCTCTCCCTCTCTCTCTCTCTCTCTTCCTCTTAGAGTGCATCTTGTCAACTTCCATCGATAATTTCGCTAAAATTATCTCTCTAAGGAGAAGGGAAAAACTAAACAATACCTAATATAGATATAGTCAAACACAAAATAAATAGTTTTGCCAATCCAAGTCAAAATGCTTATATATGTGCCATGTAAGAATTATCTGTTGATGTCAATTACATAATGAATGTGGATTGCAAAAAGATATTGCATCTTCAAAGTTTGTGCCATGTCAAACCAACTTATGTTTTTTTCTAAAACCTAATCGAGGAAATTAGAAGCATTTTAATCTGTTTGGACATCTTGTTCACTAGATCCCAACCCGACCTAAGCCCACACATATTGTAAACTTGTACAAAAACAATTGTTCAGTGGGAGTGGCAAGTGGAGGTTTCCTACATCTACAGGGAAGCAATTATAGGATAGTAATCTCAAGATTTGGATGTCTCTTCCAATACAAGTGTTTGCCTTACTTGTCTATGATAGTTTGATTACTGTGTAGTTTGTTTCTTTGGGCTTAAGCTTGTCTTTATTACCAAAAATATAAATTATTCGAGCTGGGTCTGATATTATTAACCCATTTAAGTTAACTCATTTTTAACCCGGTCTCATTAGTCCAACTGCCTCATCCAAGCTCTAACGCAATGTTTTCTAACTTCTCTTCAGGGAAACAAAGCAGGACAAACAAAACCAGAAACCTGCCTAGAACTTTGGACCACACCATTCTTTCTTGCTGAGTTGTTGTCGCCGCTGCAAAGACTTTATATCAGGTTCAGTCGATTGTTGAAGCTTTGCTATTGCTAATGTGTCATTAATGTTATGAACTTGTCAATTCAGTACTTTGGAGAATGAATATTCGTTGATCTTGTAGATTGTTGTTATTTGCCGTATTTATGGTAAGAGTGAAGACCTACCTCTCCCTATATACACTTTGATTATTTGCCAATATGTATGCTGCCTTCTAACAAAGGAAAAAGGATAGTAATCTTCTACATCCCCAGAACCTTGGGAACAATCCCTATATTCCTAGTTAGTTTCTCAATTTTGATTTTTGACAAGTTACTAAATTAGATGATGATGAGACCTTGGGATGCACCACCCCAAAATCTAGCTCAAAGGGTGAGAGTGTCCATGGCCTTATAAACCCCATTTTTTTTAGTTGACCATACAATCAATGGGACTCCAAGTCCCATACCTTGCAAATAGAACCCAATAGATGACATGGTGGATACTCAATGGTCACTTTTCTCATGTTTTAGTTAGCTGTTTAGTGCCTTATACAAAGTTGGATTGGACACTTTCAGCAATGTAATTTATACATTTTTCTTAAGACTTGGATCTATGTATATGTAGTATCTTTATCCTTATCTTTAGTTGCTTATTCCAATTTAGAAGGGAAGATTAATTTTTTTTTATAGTGCTTGGACCAAGCTTTGAAGGCATCCATTTGAACTGTTTTCTTTCTGATTTGTGTTTGTAATTTCAAAGTTTGGTGCAGTAATGGGAAAGTTGTACAAGAAAAAAAAACAAGCTGATGGACACGGTCCTTCAAAAGAACATACCGATACGGCAGATCAAGAAATGGATATAAGGAAGATTATGAAAGACGTTGAAAATTTCAGTAATTTCCATTTTGACTCTCTCTCCCCCCCCCCCCCCCCCCCCCCCCCAAAATTTCTTGACTGTTGTCTGTATCTTTTCATTGAATCTGCTTTCTGTTGTTGATGCACTTCGAAGAATATATGTTCAATGGAGACAATGCATAATGGAAAGTGGATGATTATGTTCTTGCTTCTTAATATAATATTTTATATAATTAGGTTGGATTTCTTTGGTATCTATGATGCAGTTTCGTTCTTGAACTGCTATAGAGACTTGGTAACTTAAGTCTTTGGTTTTAGAGTAGACTTTTATGGATTGTGTTGATTTATGTGGCTGGATAGATGTGATGGGGATGCTAATTTCATAATTTAGAAGCTTAGATTGTCATATGAGCACATGACATTGCATTGTTAAAGGATATAACTGTATGTTTCAATTCCTTTTTTGTTTATGAATTTGGAAGTTTATGGAGGAGTTGGTAACTTTCGAAATTCGTACTACTGTAGGTAAAGGAACAAACTTCTTAATTAGTATATTATCCTCCTCCTTTTAGATCTCCTTTTCTTATAAAGTTTCTTCTTTTAAGTTTTGTGCAAAACATAACTTTAGTATTCTAAGTTCAAACTGACAAACTTCTAGTTTAGCAAGAAAAAGCTTACACGGTTGTGTTTTTGGATAAACAGGATGACTCAGCAAATTGAATAATATAGCTGATTGCCTGTTATATGTCTTCATTTTTTAGGATACAATTTGTTGTTGGAACGTTGCTTCAAAACCTTGGAAGAATGTGTAGAATTATGCCAATAATGGTTTTTCTTTTACTATAAAAAATTTAGCTTAGTCTCTCTAAAAATGCATTGCATTATAATTTTGCATATGAGATGTTTGAATAATAAGAAAATATTTTTTAGTTCTTTTTTCTTTTTTAATTAATTGGGGCTGTTGGAGCTAAAAAATTTATTCTAAACCATACTTGATTCACCTGGTTTAGTTTGCCTTTCCACTATGTCCATCAAATATCATAGGGCAGTTGCTTCTTAAAATTGCTGCTAATTACCATAGTTTTCAGGCTACTCACATATGACATGGAAGGAACGCAAAAAGATTGAAAATAGGAAGGTCGTTTCTCTTGGTGGGAAGGTGAGGACTGTTCGTTGATGCACTATTTTCTACATCGCGTGCCAATGCAAATAGTATTTCCAATGATGCTCAGGAAATATTTTTTCTTAGTGTGTTTTATTTGCCCATATGTAGCCCCCCAGGAATCAGAGATTACCTTTAAGTGTGGCACGACCAATGATGAAGAAACAAAAGGAGAGGGAGCAGAAAATGGTCCAAGAGGTAATTACTTTTATTATCCTTTTTTTCTTTTTCTTTTTTGTTTATCCGACTCTTACTGACCTTATTATTCCTATTTGTGCCTCCTGTGACTTTTAGCGTTTGATTCTTGGACAATTTGGGGGAAAGCTTGGTGGTAGCAGTAAAAGATCAATTGGGAAGCACAAGCCTGAGAACAGGGGTCTGAAATCAAGTGAAGGTCGGTTTAGAAATGGCATTCTCGATGTGAAGCATTTGTTAAATTCGGTACCATCAAGAGATCATGACACTGGAGCCAATATGTTCAGTACAGGGAAAAAGAAAGGAGGTAATATGAAACACGGTAAAAAGGGTCCCGGTAAGAAGCACCATTGAGTGCATTTTTGTGGAAAAAGTGTGTTCGGCTATGTTTGGAACGTTACTTCAAAATTAGGATCGGGATGTGTACGGTAAGGGATGAAATTGAGGAAAATAGAATGAAATGCAATTTGTTACCATTATTAGGATTTCTTAAAATTAGGAGTGGGATGTGTACCGTAATAGAGTCTTTTCCATCCATCCCATTCCATTCAACACTCCCATTTTCCCTATCTAATACCACTTGAGAGGAGTCATTTATCAATGTATATGATGGTTTAACATGTTGAACCTTTATAAATCTAGTATGACCCTTACAATTTTCAACTGTCATCTGATGTAAACATATGTAAGTGTGACAAGTCTATTTCTGAAGCCATTTCGGCTATTTTAATGTTGCTATCTTTCTCCCCGTTCCTTTTTCCGTTGTTATGTATTGTCTATAGCTTTGAACCATTTAAGGTCAATAGTGTAACTCGATAACATTTAAATAGAGGTGAAACAAAAGGCTGTTGGTCCAATTAAGAAACAATACAGGTGAAACAAAATTCTGCTTTTGTGCTTTATGCTTGAGTACAGCTTGGATTCTAAATTTCTGATGCTTGCTATAAGGACGTGCTCTCTCTGTCTTGTCTATGCCATCACCTTGCCCAACGGGTGATTCTTGTCATTTTTATACAAAGACTCTCGAATTACACACGCATGTAATAACCTTGAACAATTTATACCTTATCTTCTAAAGAATTTCACAATGGAAAACTAACTACATGCCAAGGCTTTCAGAACTAAAGCTTTACTTTATGCGATATCGTAAATAAACAAATAAGCTCCCATATTCCTTTGAATCGTTCCAACAGTTTCTACTTTGCCATAATCATAAGGGAGGTGACATTTATAATAACCCACGCCATTTATAATAACATACGTGTTGGACTCAGGTTGGGGAGAAATAGTTATCTAAGCCAGGTATGATTCAAGATACCACAAAGCAGATTACAATAATTAGAGATAAATTGAAAACATATGAGAGCCGTTAAAAGAGTTAATATGATAAGAAACATCGATCTCTAGAATTTGCTGAAGGGTGTAACACCCGTGGTACTCCGGTTGTTACTATCAATGATATTTAGTATACACAGTGAAAGACTTTATTTGAAAATGGAATGAAGCGTCTTACAAAAATATGAGTAAATTTTTTCCAAAATATTTTATGAAAATATTTCTAAAAACGTTCACGTGAGATACTGCGAAAGCATAAATCTAAACATACATCTACTAATTAATCCCATGAGCCAGTATTAGTGGCCATTGACCATCAAGATATGACATCAAGTGTCATTCCTGACGGAGTCTCACGAACAGCATAACAGCTGTATTTCGGATAACTGGGAACATGGTCCCACACATACAGATAAACTAATTGATACATTAATTTAAACAGATAGCTTGCAAGTCCCACACGGACTGCAATCCCCTCAATGGGTCAATACAAACAATAAGGCTCCATACCCAAATTAACTGAATACATGCATCAAGTCTATATTAATTCAAAGTATAAAAGCATCAGTAAATCATTCATGGCTCTAAGGATACAATCATGAGCCTAACTAAATACATACAATAATCTCCATAAAATAATTAAGCATGGTAACAAATCTACATGCCAACATCAAGTCTAATCATAACATAAAATCATCAGCTGCATCATCAACTACTCCAATGCGGGGGCCTTTCCCCTATAAGCATCACCACTACTCTGGGTACCTGAAATGATGTCCCCAAACGGGGTGAGATAACCACATCTCAGTAAGCTCAAGGTTCATAGAGGATCCTCTAACCCCTGAGCCAACTTTCTGCATGACAAGTCAGATATAAAGCATATAATACAAACATACAGCATAAACATAGCATCATCATATCATCCTTGTGTAACCCCAGGGTCAAGCCATAGACAATTACACCTGTGTGACTTTCAGGGTCAAGCCATAGACAGTCAACACAACCTCAGTAAGAAATAGCTCCCAGAGTCAAGTCATAGGCAGCCTACATACCATGATCACTAGCCAGGATCCTCATAACATATATCATTAGTGCATCATCATAACATCAAGATCATATAACATCTATATGAATGTGAATGAATGCACATGTACATCATACCATATACTTTCATACAATATAACCATAATACCCACCATCATGGTGGGGCCACAAGAGAGAGGAGTCAACTAGAACTAGGAGCTTACCTCACTGAGCTTATCAACAGCCCAACTCCAACAGTCAATTCGTATGCTCCCGTACACTCTCAAGTGCCAAGCTCTCTAGGCAAACCTAGAGCAGTAATCATTTACATTATTAATACTCAATCACTTAATGATTCCACATTACATTCTTACATGCCAATAATATGCCCATCACAAGTCTAGACCAATTATTACTTATTATTTATTTTAGTGCATTATTATAAGCCACTACATTCTTTAATCACTTACATAACTTAGAATCCTTTTCTAGGCTCACCTAGGTAACTTAGATTATTTTCAACTCATCCAAGCAATATAATTACTTATTATAAGTTACTAAGGGTTTCCCTAAGCCCACTTAGCTTAAATATCACTTTTACGATTTTTCCAAAATTGTACATGCTTTTGTTTTCTAGTCACTGAGCGTAACTCACTTGTTATAAAATTCTAATCTTTTAGTATATTAATCTAGACTCAATTACCTTTCCAACAAGATATCACATGCCTCATTTGGATTTTCCTAGCTCCGGTTATCACCATTTTAAGTTGGACAAGCAAAGCTGTTTGCCAACTCCGAACAGGGCCCTAAAAATCCTTTACCATTTCTGCGATTCTAGAAAATCTACTAAACCAATTACTCTCAAATTTTTATGTAGACAAATAGACACCTTTATATTTAATTTGAAATATTATGAGCCTAATTTGAGTAAGTACAGAGGGAGAAACGATTCGTGGAAGTTGCAGCCACGTACAGCCCCTGCACATGGCCTCCCTGTGCAGTCCTCACTCAAATGAACATACAGAATGGAATACATCTTCAATTTATACCAAATTTTGACACCACATAGCTAACATCTCAAGCTTCAATTTGATATAAGGCATAGCCCTATATGACCTCTATGGAGGAAGATATGATCTCTCCAATTTTTCCTAAAGACTGGTTACTTAGCCTTAAATGTTTTTACTTAACAAACCTTAATTGCTTTTGATTATAAATCTTAATTCACATTAATTCTTGGATTTTCTATTATTAAGTCACATTATGAAATATCCTTAGTCCCATTATGTCATGATACTTAAATTTTACTAATTACTTAATTAGTGTACCTAAACCCTATTTTAGTCCAATTTTAGAGTTAAATCCTCAATTACTTTTGTTAATTAATTCCTACCCTTAATTAATTCTCTAATTCATCATCTCCTTAATTTTTAACACAACTAAACCCTTATATACTTTGTGGGGAAGATTTGATGAGCTATTTTAATTAGAGATTTTAGCCATTATTAATCATGATTAGTGTTCTTAATTTAAAGATTACATTTTTAACAATTTTTATTGGTTCCACTTATGATTTTTCCCCCATTACCACATCAAGAACCCATTTTTACAAGAATCAAAACAGCAACCCCACAATAAAGCATGATGGTCAAATGGTTTAGGTGGTGGTGGTGGGATTTTTGTCACCATTATTCCAAAGTTTCATGTTTACATCTTCAAATGAGCACCAATGCTTCAAGCTCCCATCTTTCTCAAGCAAGCATGCTTTCTTTCCACAAAGAACATACCTTTAAGAAAACCCAAGGTTAGAACTCAAGCATACAACACAAAGGTGGGATTTTTCAAGAAGAAAACTCAAGAAACTTATACTAGAATGTAGGGAAATAAGAATCAAGGTGATGTTCTTCAAGGAGAACTCAAAAACCAACAACATAACTTGAAACTCCATGAAAACGCTGCTGTATGGAGAAGAAGAACCATGAAAATTTGGCTTTTCCAAATAAAAATAGGATGTTCTTGAAGAGGATGATGAGAGGAACAACTTTGGTGAATGAGGTTTGGTGATTTGGTGGAGTTTTAATGGAGAAAACTTAGAGAGAATGAGGAGAAAACTCAAAATTCAAAATGTTAGAGAGAGAAGGTGAAGGAGGCTGATCAGAAATGGAAGGGAAGGAGAGGAGGGTGCCCTAATGAAGGGTGCCATGTCACTTAGTGGCATTCGTCCTTTAGTGAGACCCGGTGTAATTTTTAACTGATCCGTCGTCAAATTTTTATCCGGAAACTCTCAAGACTCTAACTTTAAGTACTTAACATTAATTTTGTCTAATTATCATGATCATAACTTAAAAATTTGATTAGTAGATCACAGATCCACTAAAAGTTGTTTAATTGCACTGTAGTCTTTACCGGTGTTCTTAACTGTACTCGGATTTCATAATCTTCTTAACTTTAACATTTTTGGTCTAATTATGACTTGTTAGGCATATATTGGTCTTTCTTTCCATTTTCGCATCTTTTTCCGTTTCGAAATTCTACCGACTGCTGCTACAGGTTACAGCAGTACAAAATATCCGACAGAAGTGACTTTTCAAAAATACCCCAATATGGGTATCAATCTTCATCAAATCATATCCTAACCTCATTCATGATGTTTATAGCATTAGATTGGCTCTCTAACTATAATTTGCTAACTTGAAGCTATTCTACTGACTGTTACTGCGTCAGCAGTCAAATTTAAGAGATAAAAATTCATCTGTGCATAATACCGTCAATATGGGTATCAAAATTCTTAGAATTTCATCCTTATTCTGTTTATGACCATAAGGTCCTCATTATAACCCTCTAATTTAAAAGTCATAATTAGGGTTATTATAAAGGGGATCATGTATTTGTTAGATTGTCATCGGTTACGGGCATTGGACGTGCTCTTGGAGTGAGGAAGCTGAGTCCTAGGATGGGGAAATAAAATAGAGTGAGGTACCTTATGATGTAGAACAGATGATGGCATGCGATTAATGAGACAACATGCAGTAAGTATAGCATCACCCCAGAATGTGTACGGAACATTGCCATCAATTAACAAAGCACGAGTGGTTTCAACCAAATGGCGATTCTTGCGCTCAGCTATACCATTTTGTTGGGGTGTATGAGGGCAAGAGGTTTGATGAAGAATGCCATGAGATGAAAATAATTTTTGAAATTGATGAGATAAGTACTCACATGCATTATCACTACGAAAAGTACGAATAGGAATACCAAATTGAGTTTTTATTTCATTATAGAATAACTGAAAAATAGAAAACAACTCAGACCGATTTTTCATTAAAAATAACCAAGTACATCTAGAATAATCATCAATAAAAGTAACAAAATACTTAAATCCTAAAGTAGAAGAATGACGACTTGGTCCCCAAATATCAGAGTGGACCACAGAAAAAGGAGAAACAGCTTGACGACTAAGACGACTCGGGAACGTACTACGAGTATGTTTCCCAAACTGACAAGACTCACAATTTAAATTGGAAAGAGACGATAAATGTGGAAACCATCTTCTGAAGCTTTGCAAGACTAGGATGGCCCAGACGAGCATGTATAGTAAGAGGAGAATCCACAGTGAAGCAGGCTGAAGAAGAGGGAAATAGTTGATAGAGGCCCTGAGACTCACATCCTTTGGTAATCTCCTTCCCCGAACTCCGATCCTGAAAGATGACAGAGGTTTTAGTAAAAAAAACAACACAGTCGATGGATTTTGTCAAACGACTAACAGAAAGAAAGTTAAAAGGAGAATCTGGAACATAGAGAACATGATCCAGAGATAAATTAGGTAAAAGAAGAACCGTGTCAATCCCCCGTGATTGGACCAGAGACCCATTGGCCATAGTAATAGTGGGAAAAGAACCAGTAGTACAAAGGGAAGTGAATAAGGACTTATTACCAGAAATATGATCAGAAGCCCCAGAATCAAGAGTCCAAAGGGCCTATAGAGTGCAACTGAGAGATTCCAGCAAAAGAATTACCAGTGGGAGCAATGGATGCAGTAGGACCTGATGTTTGCTTCTCAGACCACCAAGTCACAAATTCGTTAAGAAGAGCAGCTGGAGGTTGTACACCGGAAGGTAACCCTGGAGCAGAGGTACTAGAGAAGGCTTGAGCAATATGAGCATTCCGAGGAGGTGGAGGTGGCCTGCTATGAAGCTTCCAATAGTATGATTGGTCTGATGACAATGAGTGCATAATAGCTTTCCTTTAGAGAATTTACGTCCACGATCATAACCTTGAGCAGCAAGAGCAGAAGAGTCAACAGAATCCACCGGAGGTGTATGCATCATAGGAGGTGCTGGTGACGTAGAGGGCTTGGATGGAATCCTAAGCAAGATAGACATCACAGAATCTAGTGTAGGAATTGTAGCAAATCCCAAAATTTGATCCCGATTGGCAGATAAATGGTCAGGAAAACCATATAAAATGAACAATATAAAAAGTGTATTACGCTGTTCCCGTTCCTTAGTAACATCATCAATGAGAGGCAGAAGTTCATTAAGATCATGAAGTAGACTCTGAGCTTTCCCCAAGCATTCGGTCATAGGACAATTGAAGTCCCGAGGTCATCAATTTCTGACACACACCATAGAGTCTCTGGGTATCATTGGTGTATAGTGCTTTTGCCTGACTCCAAATAGCTTCACAAGTATTAGCAGGTCGAAAAATCTGCTTAATAGACGGATAAAGAGTAGCTTTAATGAGACTACACAACTGAGCATCAATCATCTTCCATCGTGTGTGCTCATTGTCCGCCACAGATTCAGCCTTAGTGTTGAGATGGGATGTATAATTCTGCCCATCCAACCAAAGTCGCAGATCTGAAGACCAAGTATCATAGTTGGACCCATCCAATTTATCCACACTCAACAGAACAAGGATATAATTTGAAAAAATAGTAGACTCTGACTTTTGTCCAGCCGGAGTCCCAGAAACAGTGGAGACAGGAGAGTCCATAATCAAGATCAGGAAAAAAAAATCAGAAAGTCAGATCACACAACTAACCAAAAGAAGAGGGATCTGTGCGTCAACGCAAAAAGAGGTCCAAACACCAAAACAAGATCAGATCCAGAACCTACGCAAGGAGACGAGAAGATCGCGACCAGCCACGGCCGGAGAGGAGCCTCCATGCGCCGCCGGTGTGAAGAGAGTGGCCGAAATGTGACGCGCGCGTGAGGGCGCGTGTGACCTTGTTTGGGGACGTGACCGGTGCCATTGGTACCGCGTTGCGGAGACGAGCACGGCAGTATGTGGATCGCCGGAAAAGGTCACCGGACGGTGGTGCTGGACGAGACAGAAGTTCTGGCGGCTGTATACGGAGAGAAAAGCGTCCGGAAACTAACAATGAGACAGCTCCGGAAAAAAATTTAAACGATGAACAGTGAGTTCACCGGAATTTTTTTTCTCAAAGTTCCTTAGGCTCTTGATACCATGTTAAATAATGAGAGAGAAGAGAGGAACGTTTGAAATAATACTGTGTATTTTAAACTGATGAAGGATGTACAATACATATAGACAAACTAATGGACTAAGCTCAAACCTAATATAATCAGACCTAATACAAAATAAGGAAACCCTAATTACAATATGGGAAAAATGTTTCTGCCGTTACTGCAGATAACTTATCTACATTTATTTCTAAAATGATATCGTTTTGGTATTGAAATCTTAAAAAATTATAAATATAAAGACTATTATAACCCTGAAATAAATTTAAATTACAAAAACACCATGATTTTCGTCCCAAAATGACTTCGTATTGAGCATATTACAGATAACTTTTATGTCGTAACTACAGAAAAAACGAACACATACAATATATTTCTAACAAATTATTCGAGCTGGGTTTGATATTATTAACCCATTTAAGTTAACTCATTTTTAACCCGGTCTCATTAGTCCAACAGCCTCATCCAATCTCTAACGCAATGTTTTCTAACTTCACTTCAGGGAAACAAAGCAGGACAAACAAAACCAGAAACCTGCCTAGAACTTTGGACCACCATTCTTTCTTGCTGAGTTGCTGTTGCCGCTGCAAAGACTTTATATCAGGTTCAGTCGATTGTTGAAGCTTTGCTATTGCTAATGTGTCAGGAATGTTATGAGGTTTTTGTTTGTTCACGGTTGCTTTATTTAAGGTTGTTGCTCATTCGGATCTTGCTTTGTTGAATTGTAGTGTGAAATTCCAACCACTGTTAAATTCGACTTTTATTATTATTTAGGGTACCTGAATCTATACTGATTTTGGGGGTTAGAATTTGAACAGTGCTTTGAGTGTTTTTTTCCTATTAAAATTAGAACGAAATTCCACCAATATAGGACCAGATTATAATTCTTAAGCGATTAAATATTCCCTTTTGGTGCTGTTTTTCGATCTGGGTAGTTTGGTTTTATTTTATTTTATTTTATTTTCTTAAATTTTTCTCTTCTGAGTATGCCTCATGTTACTGTGTTTTGATTCTTATGCTATGAAATTCATGCAGTGAAAACTCAAATCAGCAAACAGCATGGCGGACCAATAAGAAAGAAAAACCAAGCTGCATATGTTTGCTATTTATCCTAATTCATTATTTTTCTGTCATGATAAAAAAAAAATCACAAGAGTGAAACATGTTCTTTTTACTGCAATAGAAAAATTGATTGAACTGTTTGAATGGGTGAATTGGTCTGAAAATCTGTGGTGAACCATGAAACTCGTTGTGGATCTTCCCATTCGTGGATGTATGCAGAAATAGAATACATTTTTTTGGGCTGAAACTTGTTTTCATTTCAGAATTCAGATCATATGAAGTAAATAATATGTGGAAGTAAAGGTAACTTGAATTATTGTCTGGTGAAACCTTCACGAATTCTTCTATTTAATTGTTAATAAAATGCTAGTACTTAGTGAAATCTTATCAAATTGATGAATCATGAAATGCTGAACATCAAGTTAAGCCGAAAGCTGCGTTCCCAATATGGAAGGGCCTAAGCATATTTGTGCTATGACTTGGCCCTTTTGCCTTATTTTGCTCTTTTGCCTTATTTTGCTCTGTTGTATTTTATAGGTCGTTTGATGTTGACATTATAACTTATTGCACAAGCTTCATCGTGTCTTGCGCAACTATGAGAGGCTGTGATCAATTTGAAGGATGGACCAATACACTTGTCTACTTTAATCTTTGAGGGAAGAAAAGGCTCTAATAACAGTGGAATTTTGTTCCATCAGCATATTATTTGAACTTCTTGTAGAAAATGGCTGCTGAAGATGATAAAAATCTTGTTGAAATCTTGGAAAACCTGGATACAATAGATGTTGCTAAATATATGAATTTTGTCAGTGCCCCACAAGCTGGTGCTATTGCTACATTTTCAGGCACAACACGTGATACCTTTGAAGGAAAAGCAGTCTTGGAGTTGAGATATGAAGCTTATGTTCCAATGGCAATACGATGTATGAAGTCTGTCTGTTCATCTGCTAGAGCATCCTGGAATCTGCATTCCATTGCTGTTGCTCATCGTCTAGGCACAGTTCCTGTTGGAGAAGCGAGTGTTTTCATCGCAGTGTCATCTATCCACAGGGCTGATGCACTAGAGGCTTGTAGATTTTTAATAGATGAGATAAAAGCAACAGTTCCTATTTGGAAAAAAGAAGTTTATTCAAATGGAGAGGTTTGGAAGGAGAACACTGAGTTCCTGGAGAGGAGGTCCAAGCTTGGTAACAAGGATTTAGATTGCTGTGGGAAAAAGACAGAAATTAAGGAGCACAACAAAAAACTCTGCTGTGGGACTAAGGTTTGGGTTGATGATGGAGGTAACCAAGACTAATGTAAATGTTGGGGATCAAAGATACAAGAGGTGATTGTGATAATTGAATAATAGTTTTCAGAAAATCTCCCTTTTCCACCATTCTCTTTTCTCAATCTGTTAATAAAACTATTTGATCTTTGAATGAATAAGCCTGCCCTTTTCTTGAGATATAATATCATCAATCTTGTTATTTGTCTTATTTCCCAATACAAATTGAAAACGTTTTGGCCCTTGAACCTGAGTAGAAATGACAGTGAAATTATTTTAGCTTAGTTATTCTCTTCCGAGCTTGAATTAGAGTGCAAATGATTGAAAAATTATGTCGCATAAGTCAAAGCAAATTCCACAAGGTGTTAATTATGCACATATTTTCACATTCAAAACATCACTTCAAACTCTACTATAGACACAATGGTCTCCAACTGTGCTTGAGGCCTCGAGCAGTCTTTCTAGCAATAGCCATTCAAAACTTCCGTCTCACTTTGAAAAGAATATACAAATCCATTAGGTTTGGTCTAGTGGATGAGTGATTTGAGTGGTTTGTATTAGGTTATATGTTCAATTTCCATTTGAATCAAAAAAAGAAAAGAAAAGAATATACAAACAGCAGCTAATAGATCATGACAAACAACACCTTAACCCTAACAGCTAATTATTCTATATGGGGTAGTTTTGAAAATGTTCATGAAGTCTATGCTGACAGATTTTTTGCTGGGCTAAGAAATGCAACAGCACTGTGATCTGGGCTACAGAATTTCCAGTAAACTTCCCCAAGCTTACTTTCTGAAGCAAGCTGCAGAATGAGAGTGAACCATGAGTGTGTCATAATAGCTGCAACATAAACCAAGTTCACTTCATTGTCATGGACACTGCTGAAAGGACAGAGAAAGGGCTCCTTTGAAGTGTACATGTTGCCGCAAACACAGCGGAAGCCGCAATCATAGACGGGCAGTACAAAGTTACAGTAGGATAGACTTGATAGTGCATCGGACTAAGCTCGGCTATCCGTCTACAATGACACAAGCTTTAGCAATTACTCAGGGCATGTGTGGTGCATAGTATAAAATAAGGTCCGATAGTATAAGACCTGATAGTATAAGACCTGATTAAATTTTAATACTATCCAGCGTTTGGTATGATATTGTATAAGATAATATCCTCCAATATTTTAAAAATTAATATATTAAAAAATATTATTTTTTATATAAATATTGAAATAATATATTAGTTCTTGGGAATTGTACTTGTAAGCAATATTAATACATCAACCCCTTATCAGGCTTAATCCACCACTCCTAAGCCGGATTAAGTTATACATTATTTTGATGTATAAAGGGGTCATGCTGTATAAGCTTATATTATACGATGGTCACACCAAACAACTGAAAATGTCATAACGTATAGTATAAGCTTATACTATCAAGCCTTATACATCACACCAAACAGGCCCTTAATGCATTTCACACTGCGCTAGTCACATTTAAAAAATCTTACAACCATGTTATAAAAAAAAATAAAATAAAAAAACAAACTTACAACTAGAAAAAATAATTTTACCTCTTTATTGTTTATACTAGAGAGAACGAGCTTGAAAGGTCATGGTTCGTAACATGGAAATAGTTTCTTTGCATATATGAAAGGATAAAATTGCGTACAAATTATCTTTACCCATGCCCTTGCTAATTAGAATTTAATGGGGAGTGAGTTTTTTTTTTTTTTTAATCGTTTAGAACATACTTCCAGTGAATTTGTAGAGTTTGTAGAAGCAATGAATACGCTCAGCTGCTGCCAATTCATTGTGAGTTTCATTGTGAGTGACTGAGTGTTAGTTGCATCAATGTCCACTACTAAATCCTTTGGCTTATAAGCAAGTCCACATGCAGCCATGGGTTGATTAATTTTGTTAGTGTTATGGACCTAGGTAAGGTCCGTACGCCTAAAAGGCCCTAAACACAGGACAGCTATGCAAGAATGCAATTGGGCTCTTGGATTGTAAGGCCCAGAATTCTAATACTCTCAGGAAACTCTATAAATAGGAAGCAACCTTAACCTGACTCGGGTCGGGTTGGGTTGGATTTTCTGGCTCGTTTTTTTTTCAAATCAACCTTAACTCGACTCGTTTTTTTCGGGTTGCATGCGGGTTGGGCTGGGTTGGCTCGTTTTGTCAACCCTACTAAAAACCATTATTGTATCTTATGAAATGAAGTGGGGATTTTTTTTTCATGTGTAACATTGTTAGCAAAAGCATGCAACTTTAGAGATAATTTGTCATAGGAAACAAAACTACGCATTGGATTACACCTTTTCGCCAAGCAATAGGTATATTCAACTCATCTTCAAAATATAGAATGGAGGAAATGGCTTGACGTTGCATAGTATATATGTTGTCTTTAGGTCGTGATTCGAATATGATCTTCATTGGTTTTGGATTAAGGCCTGATTAAGCTTTGGGATAATGATTTGATTGAGCTTCCAAGATATGTTGCACCGACACAGAACACGAGATACGATACGATATGATACGTTAATTCTAAAAAATATTAGATTTTGACACGTTAGGACACGTTTTGATATTAAATAATATTTTTAATTTTACGTAATATATATTATATTTAATATTCAATAATTTAACAAAAAAATGAAGCTAAACTTATATTACCCATCAATTTTACAAAGAAATATAAGATATTCTAGATATTTATATTAAACACAATAAAATGATAATCGTAATCCAACGAATCTAATAATTGAAAATAAAAAAGCAACGCAACTTTTGAACCTTTTTTGAATATCTACAACACCTGCTGAAGTATAAGAGTATCAGAGTGTCGGGAAGTATCGGGATATGTTGGACACGACATATCAAGTTTTTTAAAGTGTCATATCATAGCTTCCAAGTACAAGAACCTTGTACTCGAATAACTCACTTACTCAAATAAGTGTCAGAACAAGGGCAAATTGGTATACAGTTTGGGAAGGAGAGAAAAGTGGTAGTTTTTTTTTTTTAAGGACAAAATAAAATTAATTAGGCCCCTATTTTTGGCATTTTTACAGATTGATTAGTAATAATTGTTCTCAATTTTAAAATGATTTTTTCCTAGGGAGGCAAGTCTGGCTCTTCGCCTTCATTGTCCATTATCACTTAATATTTATTTATTTTTTTATAAATTCTTCCGCTTTATCTCTTCATTTTTTTTAAAAAATAATAGCATTGGACAAACGAATTATTTAAAAAATAAAGAATAATAATAGCATTGTTTAGGGTTTGGTTAAGTACTTATTGATGTACGTTAAATAATTAAGAAAACAAATTAATCAATTAAATTATAAATATTTATATTTTAATTTTTAAATATATTTAGTTTATTTTAAATGAGTAAAGTAAATAGTAAATTATATTTTTAATCTTTAAACTATGCTTAAGGGATGAATAACAAAAATTATATTTGATGCATAAAACATACAAATTTATGCATATAGTTAAATATGGAACAGTGACCAAAGTGCCACTGTTGACTAAAAAAATTACCAGAATGTCACGTCAACAATAAATTTTGCCAAAATGCCACGTGGCATATTTCGCTACATTGTGTAGCGAAATATGTGTGCAAATAATTCGCTACACAGTGTAGCGAAATATGCCACGTCAGAACCAAAAATGCCATGTGTCAAATTGAAGAAATTCGCTACATAGGGTAGCGAATTTCTATAATTTTGACACGTGACATTTTTGGTTCTGACGTGGCATATTTCGCTACACTGTGTAGCGAATTATTTGCACACATATTTCGCTACACAGTGTAGCGAAATATGACACGTGACATTTTGGCAAAATTTACTGTTGGCGTGGCAGTCTGGTAATTGTTTTGGCCAACAGTGGCAAAATGGTCACTGTTCCGTTAAATATGGGGACTTTGATAGCACTGCCATGGTTCCCAAAAAAAATTATTGCAATATCATGATGTTGAATTTTTTTTTTCCAAACTAGCGTCAAATTTGTTGTCAATAACAATGAGTTTCAACTGTCACATAACACACTAGGACAAACTTGTTGTCGGTCCAGTGGCGGACCCAAGAATTTTTTCTGCCGGGGGCTAAAAATTAAACATTTGTTCTCTCTTCAAACATAATATATGGAAGGCCAAATTACGAATAATTCAATACTAGTGCTTGTTTGAATACTCTCTTTTTTAAGCTAGAAGCTACTTGTAAATATAAACTAGGCCAAACATGTTTTGAGAAAAGTTCTTATAATGAAAAACTCTTTTTTTTATAATGAGGAAAAATGTCGAAAGCTAAAAGTTCCTGGGAGGAAAAAAATTTAAGCTCTTATCTGTTTTTCTTGAATTATGTATTTTTTTTAATGAAGAGTTATAAAGATAGATATAGAGATAATTTTCTTAAAATATGTGTTTTTAAGTAACTTTTAAACTATTTTTTTTTTGTAATTACCAAACAGCTTTTAACTTTTTTTAAGCTCTTTTTTTCTAGCTTTAGCTCATAAGTAGCTTCTAACTTAAAAATAAGAGGATCCAAACAGGCTCTTAGAGTAATTTAAAAAAAAAAAAAATTTTATAGACAGATCTTTCCCATAATTTAATACTAATTCTATATGTTAATTGTTACCACCAGGTCTGCCCCAACAAGAATTTGAATTGCACTCTTTCTTATTGTTTTTTTTGTTTTGTTCATTTCGTTAACTTTCATTGAGGGAGAAAAAATGCATTCAGAGTTAAAGGAGTTTCAATAGATATAGGATCTGAGAATATAAAGAAGCTCTATAAATTCTACGTGGGAGAAAAGTACTTCACATTAATGGAGAGGAAAAATAAAAATTTCTTGTATTATACTTATATTAAAAAAATTTCTTCAAATTTGGGGGTGGGCCCCCCCTCGGTCCGCCCTTGTGTCAGTGGCAACAAGTATATTGGTCAAAAGTTAACTTATTTTCAGTAATAACTTTTGACTTAAGTGTTTGAATTTAAATTTTTTTTATTCCACGTAACTTTTTGATATCTACGCGTTGGAAGGATTATTTTTTAATGTTGGAAAGTGAAAATAAGAATAAGAATTAAATAACAGTATTTACAGAGATAAAATATGTCAAATAAGACGCAGAGAAGCATGATTTGAATCTCGAGCCAAAATTATAATCTTT